TATGAAGACATCGGTCGAAAACCCTCAAAAGCAGCAAGTTAGCCCTCACAGAGTTCACAGAATATCCTAAGACCCGATAGGTGCGGGCCTCTCGAGTCTGGAAGAAACCCTCCGAAAAAGAGGCTAAAAACCCCCGACCCAATTACACGAACCACAGAAACCCGCAGATTCCCCGAGTCTCAAATAGCGGTGAAATTCGAGGCCGAGCCGCAAAGTACATGGAATCACGGGCCGGCTGTATCAGGCAATTACTAAAACTCGGCTCGGCCGTGCGGGGTGCACATGTTTGCGAACTTCGTGAGGCGGGAGGGGGGAGGTTTATGATTGTCTCCATGTTTTTATGCGTTTTGTGCTGTGTAACAGCATTAGAAAGCGCATATTGTCATGGGGTTGTCTGTGTGTGTTTGTATGTGTGTGTGTCCCACATTTTGTCCCGCACTTTCAATTCGGCATCCACAAAAGCTAGGCGGGTGAAATTTTGGTATAGTGTTCCCCGCCAGCGGATGACGCGGCAAATTTAAATTCAGCCTTCCCGTACCCGCGGGTAACACGTACGGCCCCGTGAAAGCTTTTTACGGGTAAATTAATATCTGGGGAACCACGGAGTCTAGGAGGCTGAAATTTTAAGGTAATGACCCACTGCCAATGCTCAACCTTGCCCATTCAAATTCAGCGTTCCCGCGCTCTCGGGTATCACCTACGGCCTCATGAAAATTTTGGCGGGTAAACTATTAACTCGGGAACCACGGAAAGATATTCACCCTTTAAGGGTTCGAATTCAGCCTTCATGCGCTGCTGTGTGAAATTTTTAACTGTTTTCCAATGCTTGAACTATTTTTGCATAGATAAAAGTACAGGGCAGTGGGAATCATTAATAGGCAATCGTTCGATGGGTTGAATTGCACAAAACGCATGATCGCACCGGATAGTGTGGTGCGCGTTGCTATTTTGGTAGGGTTTTGAGTGCGAGTACGAACTTGCCTGCTTGTATTCAGTATCTGCTTTCCTACCTAGTATTATAAACCCGTATGATTCCCTCCCTTACAATTTTTGCCCCTTCAAGCTGCTCCCTTCAGGAAAGGTCTGAGCCCCCCCCCCCCCCCCCCCCCCCCCCCCCCCCCCCCCCCCCCCCCCCCCCCCCCCCCCCTCCCCTC